AAAAAAAAAAAAAGAGAGAGAGAGAGAAAAAACAGTCGCATCTTGAAAAATTAAATTGCGTCACACGATGTAATATCCAGCAACTTGCCGATGCGACGACGACGACGACGACGACGACGACTGAAATTTCTCTCGCCAGCCTGGCTATTGATCCTCTCTCTACCCGAGCTGATAGAATTGTTACAACCCTTGCTTCCTTCGGAATACAAATTCTGCGTTTCTGGGAGCAACAAACCCAGTTCGAAATTTAAAAACGAACCAATCGTTTTTCAAAAGCGATAATTTAACACGCCGTCTGTTTAAATCGCGCGAGTTGCAAGCTTTCATTCTACTTTTGAAGATGTAACTATTTGATTATTATAGATTTGTTATTATATTATTGTAGAGTTTTTTTAGAAAATTATTTTATTCTGTTGTTTTATTACGTTTGGTCTTTACGGGGAGGTTTTAATATGAACAGAGCCTACTAATAAGAAGACAAAGGTATTTGCAAACATTTTATGTTTGACAATGCTGCAGTTTTTCTTGGCTGTGCAATTAATTACCTAACTTTTTTTTTTAACATTAGCAAGTACATTACCACTGATATCCTTTTCTAAATAAAACAATAGAGATCAAGAGAATTGTCAGTCTATCTCGAAATTTTCTTCTACGAAAATTTACAAGGGATACAGGGGTGAGGATACAAAAAGTATAAAAATATATACGTGTAATGTTTAATTTGACAAATTCCAGTTATTCGTCAGTATTCGAGAAACCATGGAGATCCACGGCCGATTAATGAGACGAAAGAAAGAAATGAAATTCTGTCAAACGTATCGGAACGTTCTGGCAGAAATGAAACGGTTACGTATAGGTGAATAAGAACGATAAGAAAAAGATGATGGGATCGATGGGAGAATTTTTCGAGGGCGACGACTGTCGGCGAAGGGATGCCACCCCGTAGGATGGCGCCATCTGTGCCGGTCGTCGGGAAACTCGTCTTAAAAATCACCCCCTAAGATCAATACGCACCCCGTACGATGTAGACGGTTAAGTCCGCGAAACGCCACCGAAATGCCCCCAAAACAGGTTACACCGCTTTTAATTTTCCTCCGAGTTCCTTGATAGCTAAATAAATTGCAAAGCAGGATAACGCGCGGAAAATAATTTCTCGGACCACACTGAACACGTAGATCTGATACTTTGGATTCGATTAAATCCCTCGGAACATGTGTCCGTTGTTAGACGGTGAAATTAATTCTACATTTTTATCAGTATAGTTTTCACAATTACGGCGCTTGCAAGAGACTCGATGAACAAGATTACTACATTATTTAACGTGGATCGATGCTGTAAACTTTTTCTTTTTTTTAATTGCACAGATACTTCATTAAAAGTGAAGATTTTCAATGTTGTTTTCAGCATTGTGACAATGCAATGATACAACAGGTAGTTGAAAAACTAGAGAATAGAGTTGTTAATGCGAATTTTAATATATTTAGAAAATTTAAATTAATTTTATAATTACAGTTAGTAATATAAACCTGTATCACTAGAGAAACGATATTATAAATAAAGATTTCATTCATCTCTCGTGTTGCAGACTTTTCTAATTAAAAGAATGAAACCTAAGTAGAAGTCTGCTTCCCCCAATTAAATATTTTAACAAATACTCCACTTTTTATATTTGGAATATTTTTGCTCGCCACTTCACATTATACTTATTTTTATTGTTATTATTATAACGTTGTTACATTCGTCGAAGTATAATGATTTATTATCATCGTCATTGTACTTATATTTTATTACATTTAACTTTCCCCTAAATACGTAAAAATCACAGTTAATACCTCGTATTAATTAGTAACATTCGCACAATATTTCCAAATGCAAATAGACAAAACTTGATGGTCTAACTATGATTAATACCTGTAGCTTCGAATAACCTAATCTTCGACGTCTAAACATCCCATGAATACCCAAAAATTCAATCTCTCTCCTTTATCGGCTCTCCCTCGAAACAGCTCGAACAAGCTGTTGCGTCACGAATCTAATATCCCTCTAATTCGTAACAACCCTCGAGCAAGGTTTCCCTCTATTTACGAACGAATTAACGAACAGCAGCAGCAGCAGCAACAACAACAACAACAACAACAAAAACAAAAGTCCTAGGCGGTCGAACGGTTTGGAATATCGCGCACTTCGGAAACCATAAAAAAGAGAAAGGGAAAGAGAGAGAGAAAAAAAAGAAAACGAAAGAAAGGAAAGAAGAAAATGATAAAGGAAGACAAAAAAAAAAAAAAAGAACGCATAAACGAGCAGGGAAGACCCGTGAATTCGGGTCAGGCATTTGGCTTACGAGGGTAGTTTCCAAAGGTTTCCTCTCTCTCTTTGGAATCTCCGCTTTGCGGCTTCTAACGAGATAATTTGATTTTCAGGTTGCACAAAGCATCTCTCTCTCTCTCTCTCTCTCTCTCTCTCTCTCTCTGCACACCCCTCTTATGATCTCTTGTGTTTTCACACAAACTTTTTCACCGGTTAATCGGATGCAAAGTCAGCACGTGGCCGATCGATCGATCGATCGATCGCCATTGTATCGTTGTAGAATAGAAACGTATCGTTTCGTTAGATCGCCTCTCTCGGTGAACAGTCCTTCGTGTTTCGATTGCTGACGAAATTATGAGAAAGAAATACGAAAGCTCGACAAAATACAATGGCCGTCGTTAAAAAGTTCGGAGTATTCGTCAATTTTATGGTATCTCTATCGCTACAAATATTACACTTTCTCGTCGGTGGTTCTGGTGTTAATTCTCTGCAAAACCTAGTACCTAATAAAAAAAAAAGAAAAATGCCGGTGACAGAAAATCACGATGACTCTCAGCCCCGTGGAAACAATCCATCCGAGGCTGGATGATGATCATCGGGGAACCGCGAACTGCGCACTCCGGAAGGGAACAGCGAGAGACACAGGGGCCTCGGTTTAATATTGACAATGGCAACGACAAAGTTCTCTGGCTCTCTGGACGAGAGAGGGTTTACAGAGGGGCGAGGGCACGGAGTAAGCAGCTTATTGCGAGAGAACGGGCGACGGGTATGGATTTTCAGCGACGTTGCCCGCGTTGTTTGACGACGTTTGACTTCGCGGCCGATGGCTGCTGCGCCGTGCAATCGAGACACCGTGCGGTCTCTCTCTCTCTCTCTAACCCCGAAAAACTCGAGACGATGGACTTGCCACTTTCCCCTCGTATCCGTCGGAAGCTTTCTCTCGTCTCCACTTCGCGCGACTAGTCTTGAGAGACTTAACTTAACTCGTCGATCAACCACCGCCGCCTCGGTTGATCTGACGCTTTCGTCGTCGCCTCGGTGCAACTTTGGTACCAGAGTTTGAACAATCGTCTCTCCTCCCGTCGTTCCGTTCCGTTCTTTATTATCTCGCGCGACACGCGTTGTGCTTCTTCGTGTCGCTCGCATCAGAACGAAAAATAATGTATTTGGACGTTTGCGAGGGGAGAATTCTTTATGTATATTTTATACGTGTTGATGCTATAATGAAATTATATTCTTCGAATTTGAAGACTGATATGTATTATATTTAGAAAATTATAGGTTACATGTGTTGATGCTATAATGAAGTATTATATTTGTATTACTATATGAAATTATAGGTTACATACCAAGTCAAATTCGAAACCAAGATCTGAAGATTAATATAGGAATTGCGGGATATTTATTGTATCGTTCGAGCAAAAACAATAACTTTTCTTACACGTTCGTAACAAGCGTTCAAATATTTCTTACGAATAAAAAATCAAGTTTTCACGCTTGCAGCTTTCTTGAAAATTGTATCCCTTAACTGATATCGCTGAATATATCGAAGACCGTAATAATTTGAAATTTTTAATATTACAGGCCTTTATTAAAATACGAAACAGTCGAATTATTTAATAATTTAAACAATATTTAACAACTTACTATTAATTGTCTAATAGATAGATTTCCTGATTTATAATCTTCTATTTTCCGGGAAACGTCAGACCTCGTGTTAATACAAAACGTTGAAAACGTGCGAAATCCTTGTTTTCCTTTGTAACGTCGAACCATCTAAAATACGTGGGTTGATTGCACGTTTATCGTTTATCGGGGTGACGATGATATCGTTTCTAACGTGGTTTCTTCGTGTACAGATAATCAAACGGCGCAAGTTGAAGCCCGCGATACACTTGGACAATCGGTACCGGTTAATGAGAAACGAGCCGATGCTGGACGCGGACGGAAATGAAACCGATCAAATCGGCGAGGACGAAACTGCGCCACCTAGCCCAGACGAAATGGAGGCCATCATGAAGGAAAAGGGTGACGATTACTTCCTACCGAAGTTTAAAGTCACCGAATGAGGTAGCCATGCATCGTATTCGAATCGTGTTTCTCGAGTTAGGTCACGCGCAACTTTGCCATTAGTTAGAAGACCAGCCAGATAAAAAGATAGCTTGCGTGTTTATAGAAAATTTAAGTGTTTGAGTCTCTTGAATGCAAAAAACAATAAATCATTTTTCTCCTCGATGTTCGGCAGAGGATGCGTTTGTTTCATTGAATCGTGAAATCAATATTTTGTTCTTTGATAATGTTTGATAAACTTTGGGAAAATGGGAATAATGCAACAATCTAGTTTGGTTCTTGCGTTCATTCACGATTTCATCCTCTCCAGGTAATTTCTTTCTTTTTTTATTTTCCAGAAAAGATACTTCAATTTCAATTTCTCTTTTTTTTTTTTTTTTTCTGTACAGAAATATTATTTCGCCTTCGTTCTTTATCTTTCATGCGACAAGTTAGTTGTGACGAATCTAAGATTAAAACGTCCTTCGAATTAACAATTCCAACACCGTTCGATCTTCGTATACAATAACTCGAATATAGTAAAACAAATTACACGTTATAATACACCAAATGCCATCGAACGCATTACCAATAAATGAACAAATCAAGAAACAAAACCTTCCGAAGAAGAAAAAAAAAAAGAAAACCACGAAGTCAAGTAACTATCATCCGATATATCTCGCAAGATAAAAGGAACACGCGTGCCAGTGAAGAATGGCAAGATTTCCAGCTCCTGGTACGAAATAATCTGGTCAGAAAAGAATAATATTTTTCCCAAAATGTAGGTCAACTTTTTCGAAGGTGGAAAGAAGAAGAAATGAAATGGGAAAAAAGAAAACGGTGTACACAAGCTGTGACGATGCAGGAGATGGGGTTGCTGGGACAGGGGGGGGGGCCAGGTGCGTGTGGTAGAAAGCAAAATACCAAATACAACTACCCCTCTTTTGATGGTGCCGACCATCGAACTCATCTAGGTAGGCAGCTGTTGCACGTTCCGCAACGAGATTATAATAAAGCCGTATCCCGAAACCATGGTTCGATGAAAATATTCTCCGATTGTGCTCTGTGTTGCGTGCGTGTACAAAGGGTATGCAATGACATTCTCTCTCGTTTCTTAACGCGTCTCGTGACAAAGTTCCCAGGGTGTTTTCGCCATTCCATTTCTGTTTTTCGCGCTGCGGTGACGTTCGGTTTACCGCGGATGTTTTTTCTCGCCGCGTTCGCGAGCACGTGAAAAAGTACGTTGTTCACGCTGATCCAACGGACTAATGGTAATTTTATCACGTAGTGAAGCTCGTTTGCAAAGAACGGGGCAAATGTTTACGATTCTTGGGAAACTAGTAGAAATTCAACCCAACATAGACGCGTAGAAAATTGTAAAAACCTCGCGTCAAGACAATCTTCGAGATTGAAACGCGTAGCAGACCGACAGATACACACACACCGATCGCTGTCGATGATCGATACGAATCTTGCCAATTTTCAACCGAGCATAGCCACCGCCGGGCATGAATCTCGAATCTAGCGTGACTAAGACGGATCTCAGCTGGGCACCGGCAGCAGATATTGAAGCCCTACGCCAGACGAGAATTACGCAACGCGCGATGAAATACGTACGCGAGCGAGCGCTGAATGGCCGGAATGACCGGCTCCTCCCTCGTCCATTCTCGATACCGATGTCCCGTGGACGTGGGGGGTTAAATCGCTCGGACCGCACCCCCGCCGAGCGTTTCTAATAATTTCGCAACGATAATACTACAAATCCACGCGCGATTAACACTCTCCTCTGGCCACCGCGGCGTTGTTCGCTGAGACTCTCTCTCTTTCTCTCTGTCTCTTACACAGCGCGCCACTTCGAATTAGTTTTGGATAATTTCCAGCGCTTTGTAACCGGCATAACTAACAAACGATCGTGTGCTTTACACGAGTAAAACGGCTTGCCCTGCCGCTCTCGTTTGCCGCCGCGTGGCAATTTGGATAAACTCCAAAGCGTTGCGCGATTTCGCCCGGCCGCCATTTTATTCCAAATAAGAACACGCCATTATATACGCCGTGTTCCCTGGTTACCCCTCGGACGCGATTTGTGTCCCCATTCCTTGGACGTATCGGCGGGATTATTTTATTTTATATAACGTCGCACACAGGGGCGCGGCTTTCGCAGCGAGCGAAGAACGTAAACGATTAAATTTAAACAGGTCGCTCTCAATTTCTGTTCGCTTCTATGTTCTCTTTCCTGCTTGTTTTGTACTTTCCATTTGGAATTTTTTTTTTTATTTTGTCGTTTTGTTTTTAATTTGTTCTTTTTTTTTTTATTTTATCGTTTTGCTTTACTTTCGGGTTTGCTTTACTTTCGGGTTCTCTACTGGAATTTGTTTTTGTTAATTGTCGAATTTGATTTGTATTCTTGTGATCGTCGTATACGTTCAGTGTTCAACGTCTGTAGTTAATTAGGGTTAGTTTTTGGTGAAATCGGAGTTTGAAGACTAGGAGCTTGATATGAATATTAAAATTTAATTTAACAGTTGGCCAATTATCAACCATCGCCGACAATTTTGCGAAAAAAATAAGAAGAAGTGTAATATCCAAAGTGTCTCAATTTCTTTTAGTTCCATACAGCTGCAAACTCTAGCTGGAAAAAATAGTGACACCTAACGAGGCTAATATTAACAATTTTCAATAACGTTGATAGATTTTGTTTATGATTCTTTTCACGTTCTAAATTTACCAGCAAACTTTCGTTTCTTCAAACTGAAACACCTCCCCTATAGAATGAGGGTAGTTTACAAGATTTAGCTTTTTATTCTCATAAAAAAAAAAAAAGTATATATATATATATATAATATTGAAATCAGATTTCATTCTGTTGAAAACCCTCAAAGCCGATCTACTGTTGAGAAATATTAATTATTATAACTTATAAAAGAAATAATTTTGGAACAGACAGTTACCAGCAAATTTTCGTTTCTTCAAACTAAAACACTCCCCTACAGAATGAGGATAGTTCACAAGGTTTAGCTTTTCCTCATAAAAAAAAAAAATATAATATTGAAATCAGATTTCATTCTGTTAAAAACCCCCAAAGCCGATTTACTGTTGAGAAATATTAATTATCATAACTTATAAAAGAAATAATTTTGGAACAGACAGTTACCAGCAAATTTTCGTTTCTTCAAACTAAAACACTCCCCTACAGAATGAGGATAGTTCACAAGGTTTAGCTTTTCCTCATAAAAAAAAAAAAAAATATAATATTGAAATCAGATTTCATTCTGTTAAAAACCCCCAAAGCCGATCTACTGTTGAGAAATATTAATTATTATAACTTATAAAAGAAATAACTTTGGAACAGTGTCGTTGGAACAGTGTTGTTTCCGAAAGAACAGATATATAATAGGGCTAGCCCGGAGGTATAGAGAGACAGAGAAAGAGAGAGAGAGAGAGAGAGCAACATCGGACCAGGTGATAGTCTGATGCAAAGGGACGGAGAGAGGCCTCCGTTAATACGGCGGCGGAAGGTAGGTAGGTTAGCGACAGCTGTTACTCGTCCCGGCACGAGGCCCCATACATCACACAGCTATACATTAGACAGCTTGTTCGGGTCGTTCAACGTGGTTCAGCAAGTGGACCCTTCAACGAGGTAGCAAGCTTAGTCGAGCGGACCTGGACCTGGCCTGCGTTACCTCCGACATCGTCGTCGGGGACAGCATGTGCCTGGACAAAGAGCTCATTCAGCCACGGACAATGGCCTTGGCTGGAGAGGCCGTTGCAACAAGCCTGCCTCTGCCTCTGCCTCTGCCTCTCCTGTGCCTCCACGTCCGTCTGTGCCTTCTCCCTGTGTCTTCTCTCTGCACACCGTGCATCATCAAGCTCTTTTCAGGATACACGCTATTTTTCCACTCGGCTAAACGTAGACCGGTATCGTTCGGCGATTGTCGATTGATCAACATTCACCGTGATTTTTGTATCGGGTCGATTGTGTTACGCTGAATGGTAATTAACATCGAGGGCTACTGTCCATTGTCGTCGGTTTGATTAGGTTGGACAGCAACCGTGCATTGTTGCGAGACGACAGTGGACGCGGAAGATACGAAGGAATATGATTTTTGGGATTAGAAAAGTCCGATTTCAATTCTGTAGATGTAGGTTTTGTTAATGTCTTTGGTAGGTTCAAAGTCAGTCGTTTGTCGTGTTGGGTTTGATTAGGTTGGACAGTAACACGATAGTAATGGCATTGTTGAGAGACGAATATGACGGAGTGTGGTTTTGAGATTTAAAAAAATTCGATTTTAATTCTGTAAGTATAGGTTTTGTTAATGTCTTTGGTAGGTTTGAAGATGATTATCTATCGTGATCGGTTTGATTATGTTGGATAGTAACGTGTATTGTTGCGAGACGATAGTGGACGCGGAGGATATGAAGGAATATAGATTTTGAGATTAGAAAAATCCGATTTTAATTCTACAGATGTAGGTTTTGTTAATGTCTTTTTGATAGGTTTAAAGACGATTATCTGACAGGTTGAATAGTAACGTGTATTGTTGCAAGACGATGATAATGGATGTCAAAAATAGGCAATGTGGTTTTTGAGTTAGAAAAATTCGATTTTAACTTTTCTGTAGATACTTCGATAGATTGGATAGTTGGATGATAATGTGCACTATTGTTGAGACAACAGTGGATAGACAAACTAGATTGAAACATGACTTTGAAGGTTTTAATTGTTACGTAGGTAACCAATAATCTTGTTATCCCAAGAAGTGTATAAATTTAATATTGGAGTCATTTGCACAAAAATAATATACTGACCAATCTAAATTTTGTGATTATAAAATAATGTTCGGTATTCGAAAATGTGCAGTAATATTGACGTAAATATAGAACTATAGGAGCAGCGATCAAAGCAATTTTCATTCGGCGGTAATGAAATTAGTGAAATGTAGAAATATTAGGATTTATTTCAATATCTCGCCCAAGAGAGACTAGTCAAATTAATCAAGATTAATTTTACATTTCGAATCGAGGAATTCCGATTCTCGTCTCGGTCAACAAGATCACGTTTTTGATTTTAAAATCACGTAAATAGCAATCGCCTCCTTTGATCGGGACTGCAAGACCTTCAGTCAAATTAACG